CTGTTAAGACTTCCACGCACACACTAAGCTCTTTATTTACACGCACATGTGTGCTCCCCAGTATAACTGCCCTTCAGTCACCTGCCCAGACACTTGGAGGACACTAGCTCTGCTGCAGTGAGCTCGCAGCACAGAGAAACCCAAGCAGTCATCAGCTGTGTAAACACTTGCATTGTGTTTCTACTCTATCACACAGATTCTAACAAAAGTAAAATAAAGGAGAGGATAAAAGTCTCTTTTGCATCTCATGCTCTACTAAGGTAACTGCTAAACTCAACCAGGTTTCATGTGCATCCAGAGCAGCACTGACAAACCCACTGAAGAGCTCACATGGCTATGAAGCACCTGCCAGGCTAGAGGAAAGCAGGGATGGAGTGTTTGCCTTTGGAAAATATTTTCATCCTTTCTGCCCAGGTTTTTCCTCCTGGAGGAAGGCTTCTTCCACTTCAGCTATTGACTTAACTAAGTCTCAAGCCCAACTTCCAATATGGAAAACTTAAAGGAACAAGGACTGTTCTTTCAGGACTACAAACTGATCCTGATCTATCTTTGAAAAGGGACTATGTTCTCTAACTGCCACCAGAAAAACATAATTAATCTGTATTACTAGACAGTTACTTACAAGAAAGAGTTTTGTAGCTTATCCCTCAAGGGTATTTAAAATCTACTTCCAAAAATTCAATTTTCTGTGCTCATTAATTGAAAAAATACAGGTGAAATGTCAATGGAAGATGAATGAGGTACTCACACATATCCAGCATCAAAGTGTGGGAAATAAAGGAGAAAGCTCTCTCCAGTTTCTTCCCTCTTCAGACTGGTGTTCAGCTAACAAAGACATGTGCATTTTTTAAAGACACTAATACAGGACAGACATTGTCTCTCTGGGTGTTTTCAGCACAGAATGCTGAGCCCAAGAAAGGACATGTTTTCCAAGGAATGAAGTCAGCCAAGAAGCCCTGAGAGTAACACAAGCCCTGCAAGAGTCACAGTGGAGCACGAGAGGTACTGAGAGATGAAAATTTCCTAAATGATTTGAAGATATAAAAAGCAATGTAGATTAAACAAGCTTTTCTTTTCCTGAGCAATGCAAAGATAAAATACATCCCTGTTTCCATTCTATAAATGCTGAACTTGAAAGGCAGTTTAGTCCTCACTGTTTTTTGTTACATGTTACACTGGTTTGAACATCTTATGCTAAGTTCATTTTTCAGTATTTCTGTTTAGCTGAGTGGTTGAATACTGAGAAGTTAATTTCATTTATTTATATCATTGGGATTTTTTCTTCCTTTTACATATCCATCTGAAAACAAGTAAAACAACCAATATCTACCAGGTAGCTCAACAAGTAGCCACACATTAAACCTCCTTACATTGATACCAAATGGGCTGCACTGCAATTACAAGTGTTTTGAGGCAAATTCCTTCTCTGCCACTCCTCTACTACATGAGTATATCCTCTCTCTGTTCTGAACAGTGAAAAGGAAGTTATGGATCTGGTAAATTAGGACCATCTTTGCCTTCTAAAGAGAATTAAACTGGAGTTTTAGCTGTACAGAACTAAGTATTCCCTCCAACTTGTACATGATGCACCTGTATTAATTTATGCAGCTGTTTAGTTACAAGTGTTGCAAGCTGATTGTAAGTCATCAGTATGTGCCTTGTACTGTAAACTGTTATTGTAATAAATTTAATATTCATAAACCATCTGTAGATGTCTCTTGTGCTTCTCTTATGGCAAGAACACAGATAAAATCTCCATTCTAAGAAAAAGCAGAGTGTCTAGTTCAGCTTACAACACCAACGAGGCCTCTGACAAAAAGCAGAGGATTTCCTTCAGTGTTTGAACCCTGACTCACTGCTGAACACTTCCATTCCATTCCAGAAGAACCAAAGCTCATTACACTTGTTTAGAGAACAGCAAAACCAAACTCCTCCATGCTTGGAATATGTGCTTAGCTACTTGATTAGCTTGGATATAAAACTCATTCCAAGCCTTTGTAAGCTGTCAGGCTTGGCATTTTATTTTACTCACATTTTGACTCATTACGAAGCCTGTTGAACTAAACATTAAGGAAACACCAACCTCAAACTCTTTTATATAAGTTCACCTTACTCTAGCATAAAAGTGATCATTTTACTACAAAACAAAGCCAAGTGTTTTAAATGTGTCCTAAAAAGCTGCAACCACTGGAAGACATTCTACTTACCTAGTTTGGAGGTAACTTGATTCTTGAATATGAACCTTTGAACAGACAGATTAACAAATCTCAAACATCACTCCCAGCAGAACAAACAGATAGGACTGTGATACATGAAAACAGACTCATATACCTTACTTCACACAAAACTGATGCAGTAAAATAACCCACACATTAAAAGAGACCAAATAGATCCAGTATTTATATTACACTTTATTGGTTCTGTACATCAAGTCCCCAACCAAGGCCCACACATAAATACAAAATTCATACACTGATGTGCATTTAACTTACAAAACTTCACACTAGGTACAGAATCTCCTAGATTATTATTCAGACTGGTATTCTTGCTTTCCCCTCCAGTTCTACAGGTTTGCCTCCCTTTTTTGAGAGCACTGGTGGGCACCAGTGACTCCTGCTAAGGTTGAGAACACCTTTTTTTCAGCAGAGCTCATGTTTTGGCTGGTGAGAGCAGCAGGGGCTGCCAGGGGGATGTATTCTCACCTCCTAGGTCTGTCCCAGAATCTCAAGTCCCAAGGACATGGTACTGAAGGGCAGGATGGACATTCAGCCACATTTACTAGTTCAACTGTGTAAACAGACTAAGGGTGTGTATCAAGTGATTCATTGAAATCCAGTTCAAAAGTTGTTCTATTATGGGACACAAAGGAAAGCCAGGAATAAACAGCTAGGATAGCCTTTCACTTCTGTACAAGAGTCCCTGCCACAGTGGCTTTTCCTCTCGGTGACAGGTCAGGGGTTTCTGCCCAGCACAGGGACATTAATCCTCCTCCTTCTCAATGTAGGACTTGGTGCTGACACGTGCCATCTGCCGTGCCAGGTACCTGTCCCGTGCTGACATCACTGTCTCCTCGTTGCTCCTTTTGGCAAATTTGCTCATGACCTCGGGTGGTTTCTGTGATGGTTCTTTCTCCTCTTTCTGCCCTTCTTCCCCAGCTTTGCGTTTCTGCTCAGACAACATCCCAGAGCTGGAGCTTCCCTTCTCATCCACTTCTCTGCGTTTCCCTTTTCTCTCTTTATCCTGATCAATCTCTCCATCTTTTTCTGAAGATGTAGGAGTGCCTTCCCTCCTCTCCCTGTATTTCTTTTCATCACTACCATATTTCTCTCTCTTCTCCTTGACACGATCTTCCTTTTCTCTGTATTTCTCTCCTCTCTCCTTCTCTCTTTCATTATATCTTTCTTTATCATTCCTTATTCTTTCTTTCTCTCTGTCCTTCTCTGAGCCCTTCTCCTCCCTCTCCCTTGCCCTCCTCTCTCCTCTTTCTCTGCCATGTCCCTCCCTCTCTTTTCTGTCCTTCCCCCTTTGTTTATCATCTTGCTCTTCCCTCCTCCTGTAGTGATCTTTACTGGTGTGATCCCCATGCCTGTGTCGCTCTTCCCTTTCCCTTTGGTGATCCTTCTCGTGGGTCCTACTTCTCTCATAATCTTTTTCCCTGTACTGTTCATCACTTCCCCTTCTGCCTGGTCTGCTCTCTGCCCTCTTTGCACCATGACTTGTTTGGGCCTTTGAGCGTGGCTCTTCCTCCACACTGGATGAGCTTGGAGACCTGGAATGCCTCTGGCTCTTGTGATGTTTAGCCTCCTCTTCACTGCTCACAGAGCTCTGTCTCCTCTTCTTCTTTTTCAAATTTACTTTGCTATCTTTGTGTCTCTTATCATCATCACTACTATCAGTTCCTAAGTCAGTATCAGCATCTGGATCGTTCTCTTTCTTAGTAGTGGGTTTCAGTCTTTGTCTTTCAGATGAGCATTTGTTCCTTTCATTGAGTTCATCACAACTGTCAGGTTTTTCTTCCTTTATCCTACATTTTTTTTATATTAGGAAAGAAAAAACAACATTACCAAGCCTGAAATCTCAGACTTTCACAAACTGACTTCTGGCCAGGATTTAAGCAAAAGATACTGCTGAAAAGTCTAAGAAAGCAAATCTGACTGTGGCTCGGGCTCCAGGAATCCAGTGCAAAGGATTTCTGTTCACAACACTTCCTGAGCTTGCAAATTAACACCATTTCAAATGATCTCTACACAGCAGGGAACCTCATCCTGAAGACATCACAGAGAATTCCTTTATTTCAGAGAGCTGAGTAACTTCAGTGATCACATCCTTCACTTAGGCTAAGAACTGAACTTCCTGATAATCCAATCTCAGACCCAGAAGATCTCTTGATGAAAGCTGCATTTTCTTTGTGATGGCAAGGACTAAACTAGTGACATCCAGGCTTAATGCCTGGCTTGAGCAAGGCTTACCCTGAGTTAATTGCCTCAAATGAGCAGTTGCTGCATACAAGAATCATCTCCTCTTCATCACATCTATCCACAGGGCAGAATCTTACCATCTCACCTTCCTAAATAATTCAGTCTCATCTCATTACTTTGCTTTGGAATGTGCATATTAAGGTTTTAAAATATTCCCACTGGATTTCCTTTGTATTTGATTCATTTCCTTTTCCCACAGCATCAACACTCCATTTATTTTTTATGAAACTGTAAATGTGGAGTAAGTGCAATTCTTTTCAGGAAATTCCTAGCACAACATCCATTCCTGTGCTCATTAGTCTACCTCATCTCCCTCATGATTCAAATTGTGTAATTTAACATAGATTGCTAAATATTATGTAAAGCAAATACATACTAGAATAATCCCAAGCAATATTACAAACCTGAGTGGCCTCTTGATACTTCTCAGACAGCATCTCTCTCCTGCTTGTTTCATTTCTGTATCACTGATGACCATTAGACATTTACCAAGTAATTCAGTTAATGAGCTGTATGAAGTAACCAGCTAACCCCACCTGTGTTTAGTGCTCTCTAATTCTCCTGTGAGTTTGGAATCACAAAAGCCTTCTGGAATCATACCCTACCTGGCTTCACGGAAGCTGCATTTAGGAGTCTCTTCTTCCCCTACCCTCTGGTTTAAAAGATGTCTGTAGAATCCACTGAGATCCCTCTGTTTGGTCACATCCAGGTATGCTGAGAGAGAGAAAGGAAGGCTGGATTGACTGTGCCACAAATACTCATCACACACAACTCATAACTGGTAGACACTATCAAGACTGCAATCCCCATCCTGGAGGTTTTCAAGTCCAAGGTGGAAAAAGCTTGGAGTAACCTGATTTGACCTCATAGCAGACCATGCTTTGAGCAAGAGGCTGGAACAGAGGATCTTCAGAGGTCCATTCCAACCCAATTTACCTTGTGATCCTCTATCCTATTCTTTTCCCCTGCTCCTGGGACACTGTACAGAATGTCTGAGCTAAGGACTGTAAGCATCACTGTACCCCAGGCTTATGAGTCTTCCCTCAACTACTGAGCCTTCCTCAAAAATTAAAAGCAGCAACCCAAATAGCAGTGATACAAACTTTGTAAAATGCACAAAGGAAAATAACAATCCAAGTGGGATCTGATTCAGGATCTGCTATCAGGTCCTCTTTGATTTTGATGATCTCAAGTCCCTAAAGTGATGAGATGACAATGCTGTAAATCATGTACAAGGCCACACTTCTTTCTAAGGACAATTATTTCAGTGTGAATCTCACCCTCAAGAGCTGATTCTCTTCTTTCTCTTTCCTCCTCCTCAGCCCTTTCTTGCAGCTTCTTCTTGTAGGCTGAAGTCACAAAAGCCTCTTTGTGAGCAAACTCTCCTCCTTCCATTTCACGCTCCTTCTGGATTTTTCTTTCCATTCTTTTTTCTTGTTCCTTCTTTCTAATCTCAGCTGCCCTGAGGATATTATGGATGTATCTGGGCTAAAGTAGGAGGGAAAAGAGGTATCATGCTCAGAGGTAATTGAGGTGGCTGAGAAAACACAAACTGGGATTGATGGAGATGTTGAAGAAAGTTGGGAGTGAAGAAAACTGACAGAAGCTAGACTAACATGTTCTCACTCTGTTTGATAGCTATCCAAAATAAACTGACATTCCCTTTTAGATCCCTACCATGGCACACTTCCCAGTAACAAAGGAGGTGGTTGTATTCAATCAAAACAGACATCCCATCTCTTTGACTAGGATGATTTTCATCCTAAGTGAAATTAAATGGGTTCTGATTTCTCATCCCTCTCTCTCTTGTACTGCAAGTCTTGCTCTTCTATGGCTGTTAAGGAGTGGGAAGGTTCCTTTTACACCCACAGAACCTGACAAGAGCTTTCAAATGAAATAGACTGAGCAACAATGAAAATCTCACTTGTCAGGATAATTCAGCAATGCTTTGAAACAAGGCATTGGGCTGTGGAAACTGGCTCACGTTTCACCAGTGGAAGTTAATTACTTCAGTCTCTGACAGCCCTCCCCTCCAGTAGCTCAGTGGTGAGGGAGGAGGGAGGATTTATCCACTGGTTTGGTAACAGAAGTCTCTGTTACCAGCAGTGGTTTTGGTGCAGGGCCCTTTGCCTCTAATTCTATTATCCCACTGTAGCATGCTCTTTGGAAAGACCCAGACAGCTATGCCCTATGCACATCATAAACTGAGTGGGAATCTTGGGGTCTGCTGCCCTCCAGAATACCTTGATCAGGACTCTGCAGTATCTGATGAACTAACAGTTTTGCCAAAATTCTTGCAAATTACTTCCTTATGTAACAGGATTTGAGCCTAATCTTGCATGGCCCATGGGAAAATGCATGTGGCTAAGCTCACAAGTTAAGCAGTCATGGTTATTCCAAGCAGACAGAGGTAAGACTACGTTTTCAGCTACTGACCTTTTTGTCACCATTTCCAGACAACATTTTGGCACTACTTTCTTTCTTCTTCTGCTGCATCTCATCATAAATACTGTCATACTCATACACTGTGGCATCTTCCTCCAAAGCCTTCTGAATCTCCAATTTAGTCTAAAAGAAAAAAAAAAAGAGGGGGGGAAGGAGAAGAAAAGATATCAAAAAATATTCCTAATATCTTTACTATTTTCAAATGTTTTATTCCTATATGGTGATTTAAACAGATCTATAGGATAAACCTACCCCTTAGAACACTGAGTGTAAATTAAAGTCAGTCTCTTACCTGTTTCATTGCTTGTTTCTTCAACGCTTCCTTCTGAAGACTCTCCCCCACCGAAGGCTGTAGGAAGGAGAATTGCAGACACAAACTTAATTGCACTGACACAGATCAGACTATTTTTCTACCATTCTAACAAACAACTATATAACAGTCCAATGACATAAGTCAGTCTCTCACTTCAATAATATTTTTCTGTGAGCAAGAAAAACTAGAAGTTCATTCACCAGCACAGAGTGAGCACCGAGCCATGAGCAAAGTCTGAAATACAGAGGTGCTGTTTGGAAAATACTGAATTCTTCCAGATGTGCATGTCATCAGAGATGCAGCAGCCACAGGCAGAGATTCTTACTGACAATCATCTGCATTCACAGTAAAAAACAACTATCCAAAAAGATCTGGCATTTATTTCATTTGATCTCCACCATTAGTTCTGTATTTTCAGAACTAAGAACATGCTGAACATCAGGTACTGCAAATGTTACTGCTTAGTTTCTCCAGATTAACATGCTAGAAAATAGCAATACTAATCTTCTCTAAGAAGAAACAGATCCTCTACTGAAAACGTTTGCTAATCATAGCCTTTAAAAAAAAAAAAAAAAGCTTTGCATTCTATTTAGTTTTTTCTTCTAATTAGTCTTGAACTAAACTACATATCTCTCTTTTCCCAACCCACAGATACTACTGTTTATTAAACAGATCCACTATAATGACAGGACTTGTGTCCTTGTTTATGTAATTAAATATCTCTTAATCTTTAAAAGCAGAAATAGGAAGGAAAAATCCTTTTGCATTTTGGCAGCTTCCCAAGTTTTGCAACTTTGACTAATACATGCTCTGGATCACATTTTGAGAGGACAAGGATTCTGCAGTTTGCTCTTGATAAAATTAAACCATGGAAACAAACTCACAGGAGCTTGGCAGTGGGGACTAAGATCTTCTGAAATCAAACAGAATTAGCACCATCTCAATTCAAGCAGTTCCCCTGAACACAAAGGCTTTGAATTCATGACCTCTCTTTCTTAACCTTTTAAAATTTTAACAGATGTGTCAACAAGGAAAAATACCAAGTGTTTTTCCACAATTTTCTACATAACAGACAGTGCAAATCTTTTTTCACTGGTTAATTTCAGAAACAGGGAAGAAGCTGTGCCAGGATGGAGTCTCATTAGATGTGACTGTGCTCTCTGTCTCTCCATGTGCCCTGTCACCCCCTTGGCCACACTGCTGCTGCCTTTGGCCAGCAGAAGTTCAGAATCAGAGAAACCTGAGACACAGAATAATCAAAATGCTCCTTCCTAGCTCTCTCCAAGGGAAGGACACACCGACAAGTAAAAAATGGGAACGTGAAAGGTCACATATTCCAACTTTTTCTGCTGCTTTAGTTGCCCCACGCAGACTTGGATGAAATCCATCTCTGGTTTCACCATGTCAAACCTTGTGGTTAAAGGACAATGATAAAGGGAAAGTGTCATGTGCAATCCTGCACTCTTTGTGTCCTCACCCCTGGACAGGAGCCTCTCTCTCTACCTGGCTGCAGAGCACACTCAGACTTCAGGAAGCTGAGCTCAGACATGAGCAATACAAAGTGGTGCTGGGGACTACACCCTGCCTGCTGCAGCCTGCTGACTATTTGGACTAAAGCTGGATAGAGTCTCTTATTTGTTTATGTAGCTGGTTGGTTGGTTGACTGAGGGAAGTAGATAGAGGATTATTTAGTTTAAAACAACCTCCAAGAATCCTGGCTTCATTCCCCTAGAATTTACCTCTGGCTTTCAAGACTGAAAACTGATGCGGAGAAATAGTTTATAATACTGCACTTGATTTTATGATGGACACTTCCTTTTGAAAATGCTACAAATGAGCCAGTATTAACTACAAACAGTCACTTGAAATCACTAGAACACACAGCAGCATTACACAGAAGACCTCAACTTCCTCCTGGCTCTTGGGAAAGAAGATGGTCCTTGGCTTGACATGTTGAGGGTCATCACTGAAGGTTTCCCCTATTGGAAACTCCTACACTGGTTTGACAGAAAGGGACCTAACAGCAAGGAATCTCCCCAGCACTCTGCCAGAAATCAGGGGCACAGTAAAGACCAAATACAATATATTTACACAATAAGCTTTAGTCCACCAAAATATCTGACACGGTGCTTAGAATGTTTTCCTTGTCTGCCTACATGAAAGCAAAGTGTTGATCCACAAAGATTGCATACACACCAAAGCAATATCTAACCCTCATTACAGGCCCTATGATGGTGAAGAAGTCCATCTGCCATTTGTCTGGAGTGGCAGTAAGTTTACAGAAAACAAACACCTTCCCCAATGGTTTATGGTGGACAATTTCCTGTTGTGCTGTGAGCTCTGATAGATGAGAACTTCCTGTCCTTTTGTATTGTTTTTACTTATCAACTGCCCATTTATTAAAGGCCTATAAGCTCAGCAATCTGTCTCATACTTTCTCCTTCCCTGTAGCCAAGCTATTCTTCTGAAGCACAAAGCTTCTAGTTCAATATTTTCTGGAAAGAGAAAATGTTTTAACCCTATCTTGTGAAACAACATAGAATCCATGTGAATCAAGGAACCTTTAGAAATGAAGCTCTCCAGTCTACCACTGCTATGAGACCCTGGAAGACATAGAAAATAGCCTGGACAAAACTGAAAAGGTTATTTAAAGTAAAAAAAAGTTATAAGTACCCCAGGCATTCAAACTGCTGATTGCTAGGAAGCTACAACCTCAAATCTGAAGCTGAGGATATCTTGTAAAAAATGTCACAACTATTACAACAGATGCTCTCAGAGTGTATGTGAGATATCTGACTTGTTTTTCCCCACTGACTGCCACAAGAAGGAGACCAACAAATTCTAACACAACATTATTCATGGAGTTATCTCAGATGAGCTGCCTAACCTGCCTCCTAAGGAAAAGCATCTGGGGTTGCTCCAAAACCCCAGGCATGGTACCTAGTGACAGAACATAAGACATCACTCCATTCTCTTTAAAACCAAAAGATGCTTCTGCTCTAATATAACCTGTTATGAAAGAGCCATGAGGAGGTTTTGCCCTTTAACACTGCCCTTTTGAATTCTCTATCTGCTGCTTTGCAGCAGACACAGAAAACAAATTACCTTTGTTTGAAGTGAAATCCATTTTAAAGGGAAATGAAATGCCTCAGTGATGTCAGGTAGATTATATGTAGTTTGATTTTAATCTCTCACTACAACCCTCTAGTTTTAACTGAACATGCAGAAAAATATGTGACCAAACAACAACAACAGGATGATGTGCAGAGTAAGAAGCACAGACAGACAGGTCAGAAAAACCAAAACTTACTTTTAACCTGAGCTGCCCATCCAAGGGCACTGCTCACCTAAACACAGAAACAGACACTTTGAGGGCAAAATTCATCTCACTGATTTGATGTGTCTCCTTTAGAATGAAGCAGGTTGTGCCTCAGAAGTCTCTGCCTCTCTGCTGACCACACAGGCAGCTCAGGGTAACCACCCATGGCTCTTGGCCCAGGTTGGTGACCCATGTGGCGACACCTCTGGAAGGTACAGATCTGACTCTGCTCATTTCATCCTTCTCTCACCTCACACTCTGAGATCTTTGGATTCATGACACTTGGTACCAAAACATGTTAAAATGAGCTACTGACATCCTCCTGTATAATCCTTAAGGCTTGCCCTCAGAGAGGCCTATACTATCCAACTACAGCCTGCACATGGAGGATCACTCAATGCATGTGAGACTCAAGGAAAATCCTGCAGGAAAAAACTGCAGGAAAACCCCCAAAAATCATGTCAGGCAACAAATTCCTCTCAACTCACACATGATATGAACTATAGGTCCTAGCAGATTATATGAGCCAACTCACATGATATGAGCCATAGGTCCTAGCAGATGATGAAGAGAAGGAACATGAAAACAAGTCACATACACAGAATTAGCTTTCCCTGGCACTCTCTCCTAGCTTCAGAAACCACATCAGGGACTTCCTGAACTGGAGGATGCACCTGGACCATTGTTTGACACCAAGAGCATCCCTTAATTTGACTAATCCATTTCTGAATCCATTCATACTTTTGGCCATGCCACAATATCCTGTGGCAAGGAGTTCCATACCTTAGTCATACATTGTGTAGAGAAAAATCACCAACTTCCTCTTGTTTAGATTAAACAAGTTTCTTCCTTAACAGAACCTACTGCTCATGAGGAATGGCAACATCACCTTAGCTTCCCTGAATCATTCTTGATTTTATAGACATCCTCTGGAGTTACACCTTTCCACTTCCTCCTTCTCAGAAAACTCTTTTCCAAGAGTCCCTTTAGTCTCCTTAGTCTTCTTTAGCATGAGAACTGTTAAAATACTCCATTTATCTTTTAGATGAGCACTAAAAAGCACCAAATGCAGCAAACACATTCACAGAACTGTCCACACTGACTCAACAGTTCCTTTCCTGAATTTAGCACCTACTGAGGTCTACCTACAGTTATTTTTGCAGCTACACTTTCCATCCTGTAGCAACAAATCAGTTCTGAAAGGCTGGTAAGGTATAGGAATGTAGGATGGGTAATTCTGACACAATCAAGAAACAGAAATTTTATCTGCTGTACCACAGAGAATTTCAACTAAATTCCAAAGAGAAAATAGAACATGGAACAGTGCACTGGGAATACTGACAAGCTACCCCTGAAAATGCAAAGCATGAATAAGGGAATCTATTTTTGGACAAAATAAGAGTAAGCCAGAATGGAAACTCATCCCTAAGATATCATAACATCTAGTCTCTACAACAGCCTTTCCTAGGGGTAACCACCTTCCCCCCAACAACTCCTCCTTATGAAGGCAAAATAATCCACAGCTATATTGGCTAGAAGAAACTGTAATCACCTGGTTTACTTTTTCCCCATCAACATTGTATCTCAAGAAAATTTCCACCCTGGATGTTCTCTTTCTTATGAACTAACCCAAAGATCATCTTCATCAGCAACTAACACCCATTAATGTACTTAGCCACAGGAAAAAAAAATCCAAATTCCTTCAGCAAGGACACAGGCAAAATCTTAATGAAATATGCATAGTAACATCAAAAAAAAGAAGGGAGCAAAAGTTTGGTATCTCATATATAATCACAGAGCAAGTCAGGTGTGCAGATTGCCCAGCACAAACTTTATTAGAGTTCAGTTAAAAATACATAATCTTCAGACATTTGAGATGTAGTTCTGACTGATAAGGCAGCAGACAGGAAATGAAACCCCTCCCAAATGCTGCTCCTTATCTTGAAAAGCTCTGAAATTATTACTAAACTAATAAAGTAATTTTGTTTTTTTAAAAAAAAAATCTTCTTTGATAAAGGCAGTTATGAGATTATTACTTTTTGCTGGGTATGTACCATAGTGATGAGCATAACAACTTTTAAGAGTCTTTACACCAGACTGGCAGTGAATCTCTCAGTCTGTCTGAGGGAGGACACTTGAGCTGTTAGGCTAAAAGTTGGCAGACAGCACCACACCTTAGTTTTACAGGAATTATGAGCACCCATTATTTTGCTTTAATGATTAGATATGAAGAGAAAATGGAGAAGTAAAACAATACAGGACAATCCCATGCTCAGGAAGGTTCCCTGTCCTACCATGTAATGTTGACTGACAGATTAAATTGAGCTCACTCCTGGGATCTGGAAAATGTGGGCTCAGACTCTTAATGTAGAAAAAGACACCAAGTTTCAGCTGACAAGGAAAATGTTCCTGACATTAAGAACAGCAGATCCACTGCCACCTCCACTGGCTGTGTCTAAGGGAAAGCCCCTCCAGAGCCATGGTGCTCTAAGTGCAGGGATGCACCTTTGAGGACCATGGCCAAGTGAGGAAGGAGATGAGATTTAAAACCCATTCCTGTGCTCTGTTTTCTGCACTGAGACAGTTTCATGCTGAGGGCTGAGTGGGTATCACTAGGAAGACCCTCAGGCCTTCCAAGCCCTGTCTAACAACAGCTCAGACACCTTCAACAGCAACACTGCAGATTCTGTCACAGACTCAGGGGGACAGAGGCTGGGAATTGCTAGATTCATGTCTTCTGTGGCATAAAATAACAACTGCTAATCCATAGAACAAAGAATTTTAAAAGAAATGTTTTGATGAGTCAGCAACTGAAAAGATGATTTGATGCTTTATTAGCATTGGGTTTTTTCAACCACACAAGAGCAAGCACAGAGTGAAGCTCAGTGTAAGAGCATCTCTAACACAGGTTCTGCTTCTCAAGTTCCACTGGGCCTAGTATTCAACTTCTTAAATGCTATGATCCTAGACTATGGGTACATGTAAAGTTTATTTTCTGGGGTTTGTGGGGAAAAAAGCTAAACATGGCACATAATGACATTATAACTAAAATATCACAAGGAATTCCAGAGTGATAAATCCCAGGAAATTGTAATATTATGTTCAGAGAGCAACATCCACGTGGAGAGTTAACTCCACAGCTGTGAGATTCTGTTTTTTATGTGTAAAGTACAAATCTACTGGCTTTAAATCCTTCAGAAATTGTGGGTTAGCAGGTGGGTTTCTGTAAGGGTCTAAACCAGTCCCTACTCCAGCCCTGGACACTCCACTATTCCAAACTTCCAGCGGCACGTCCAGGTGGGATTTACATGGAGCTCAGCGCCCTCTACTGGGGCAGGTACCGAGCGAATGTTTGAAGGTAATACTTAAGAAAATATGAAATTAAAGATTATAGAAAAGAACAATCAATATCAAACATCAGTAGAAAAGATCATCAATATCAAACATCTTTTGCTTTAGAACGTTAAGGCTGTACAGTTTTGTTTACAGTGAGTGCGAACAACATAAGTCATGGTGAAATGAGCTTTGGACAAAACACACATAGTAATACCCTTAAAGGATAAAATACACTGAACTACCACATTTCAGGGTTAATATCTGAGCAAAGCCTTTGATTCCTATTCATCTTTCTATTTCCAGAGGAATTCAGCAGCAATAGCCAACAAATATCTTCGTAAGTTACAGTTAACCTCTGCAAACAGGTTGTGACACGTGCTGAACTTTGGGAAGAGTTGACAGAAAGTAACAACCAACTCCTCACTTGGACATAACTTGCACTAAAGCAAACACAGATGATGTTTCACACCCAAATCCAAAGTGATGACACATCTCCCAGTGGCACTGCCATAAACTGGTGAAGGCATAAAGGGACAGAAATACTTTGCAGATTCAGGGGCAAATTCCAGAAGAAAACTGATGAACTGACCTCTTCATCCGACTCCTCTGCAAACACAGAGAGCTTCTTCGAAGCAAGATTCTTCTGTGGCAACTTTTTGGGCATAATGAGCCCATATCTAGAGGGGGAAAAAAAAGGTTACCTTTAGCATTATTTACAAGACACTTAGCATGTTCCAACCCCAAAATCTGCCATTCACCATTTTAGAAGCAAAAGATCAGCATCAATGTATCAAAATTAGATCTGAGCAGCCTTTGCAGCAGAGCACTCAGCCCTGTTACACATCTGTCTCCCAGAACTATCTTTTTCTATGCAAAGTTTGGATTCTCCTAAATTAGGGCACAAATCTCTCTTGCCCAGAGTTCTCCAAGGGATTTTCTTTTCTCAGAGGAAAAAAACTACTGTTCAACCTGAAGTGATACATTCAGTCTGCACCAGGCTCTGTCCCACAGCTGCGTTTGCAGGGCAGTAAGTTCACCTGCTTTGCTGGTGATGTAAACCCCACGTACAGCTACCGCAAAGGGCAGGATTTACAGCCAGATGATGTCGCATGGCAACGGGTTAACCGCGCGCAGACAACTCTCTGCTGACACAGCCCATCTCCGTGCATGAAACCACTTCCTTCGGGTACTGAGCAAGCTCTGAATCCAGGGATTTCTCCACCCGCCTTTCCCTGGGCCCATCACTGAGGTGGACACGGCGCGTGTGGCCGAGCAGGAGCACCCCACGGTTCTGAGGGTGCCACACACCCCCGTGAGGGCTCTTTGATGCCGTGTGCCCTCCCCAGAGGGCACCCAGGGCTGGGGCTGGGGGTGCTCAGCGGCCGCTGCGCGTGTGAGGGAACCCTGAGGCGACTCCTCCCCAACAACCAAACCCCGCGAGCAACACGGCCGCGGCCTCAAACGCCTCCCCAGCTTTGTCCGCCG